CTGCTATAGGCGAATACCATGCTGGGTAGCTGATAAGGAACAGATTTATTTCTTACTATCTCAGAGAGTGGGAAGTCCAAGATTGAGGGGTCTGTATCTGGAGAAGGTCTGTTTGCTTGATCATCCCTTGGCAGAATGTAGAAGCAGGAGCATACACTATGGGCAGCAGAAGTATGAAGGGCATATTCATCCTTTCATAGAAATGGATTCCTGTGATAGCAAACTCATTCCCTAGACAACAGCATTAATCCATCCACCAGAGCTGATCCCTCATGACTCCCTCAGAGGTCTTGTGTTTTCTACTGTTTTGTGTTGGACACCAAGTGCAACTCGTGAACATCCCTTTTGCCCATCACTGTCCCCATTTGTCCTCAACAGGTTTAAGTTTAAAAAGAGGTAGAATGGTTAATGTGATATTATAAGCCACAATATGATGCTCCACTTAAAGCAAGGACCATGGAGCCAGCAGGATGAATCAGTGGGTAAAACCTTGTCCCAAAGCCTGAGGACCTGAGTTCAACCCCAGAAACCAACACCCAGAAGTTGTCCTCTGATGGCCTTATATGTTTCATGGCATATGAACACATGTGCAGAACCCCCCCCACACACACACATACCCCACCACACACTGAATAAATAAATGAAAACTAGAACCAATGCATGTAGCTATTGGGTGAATTGGTGCCTTTTACCTTTGCTAGAAATCCGGCTACAAAATAAATCCAGAACCTTGAGCAGGGATGGTGTGCTTTCTGGGGAAAGAACTGCTCACTGTCCCCTGAATTCCTACCCACCACTTACAGGCTCATCAGATGGATATTGATTCTAATGAAAGGTGAGGGTTCTAGGAGGTGGGAAAAATAGGTGATGGGTTGATGAGGAGATGGAAGACAAGAAAAGGGAATGCAGACCATGAGGGCAATTTGCTCTCAAATATTAATCTAAAGTTCAAAAAATAAGATCCCATCGTAGTGTCCCCAGTGAGGATGGAGTAATTACACATTTCCCTGCCTGGAATGCAGAGTAGATCTGGGTCCGTGTGATATTCATCACCAGGAAGATTATGCAGGGGACAACTGAGTGAGAACCCCAGGAAACACTCTGGCTCATTCCAACCTCACTGGAGAGATGATAGCACTGTGTGAGTGCAAGCCTGGAGAGCAAGACTCTGAGAATGTGTGGCTTCACACCTCAGCCTCTGTGGTCCTGGCACTCACGGAGCCCTCTGCGGGTGGCTCAGGATAGGCTGACTTTCCCCGAAGGGCTTTCACAAAACTGCCAACCAAGCAGGCCTGGGTGAGAGCGTGAGAGGTTGCTCATCCTTTTGAAGTCATGGTACAGATAAAGACAGGCTCTTTATATATCCAGGATTTAAAGGATTCCACAGAGTGGTGCTTAGAAGTCATTACACCAACCTGAAAACTCCACACTCTGCCTCTCGGATGGCCTTTTGATCCAAGTGACAATACAGGTCCATAGCAGGTCCCATGTCTTCCAAACCTCCAGTTACAACAATCTCAGCTTGAGATTTGAGAAGCCTAACTCATTCCAGGCCAAGACTGCTCTGGCCTGAAGGAGGGCTGAGTTTGGCAGGGTTGGATATGTGACTTGATGAGGCAGAAATGACATGGGTGATTACATATTTGTTATTTGTCCTTCTTTGTGGGTGCCCTGAAGTCAGAATCTGTATCTGTGGGTGTCTGGCCAGTAGCAAGTGCTCAGCTCTGAGGAAAAGAGCTGTCCAAATAAGAACTCCGAGTCTGGAGTTGGGAAAAGTCTATCAGTTCCCAGTGTCCTGCTGTCAGTTGCCCTAGCAGAGCTGTGTTAGCAAGCAAGAACATCAGTAAGCACTGAGTGGGATCATTATGAAGATGTATACGAAACCGCCTTGCCTTAGGAGTACAGGAAGGGGTCTCTGTCTCCTGTGGCTAAGGTCTGAAGAATCGTGATGACTTGAGTTTCAGCACTAACACAGCACACAGGAAACTGAAATGGAGGACAATGGGCTTAGAGGAGGAGAGATGGCAGGGACCTTGGAAGATGCTGAGAGATGTAGATGGTGGCTTGTGTGTTTCTGTGAAGCGTCAGCTATCCCTGAAGTTGAGCACTGCACCCTGAAATAGTGATGGGGCTGCTGGCATGGAAATGAGTCCTCAGTGTCATTGAGTGGGCCCCTTGTTGGTAAGGCATTCAGTGACAATGTCACTAAGAGAGGACAAAGGACCAAGTGATAGCACTATTTAAGATGGGAGACTACCTGACTGGTGGAAGGCAGGTGTCTTAGGGTTTTTAATGGCTGTGAAGAGACACCATGACCATGGCTACTCTTATAAGTGAAAACTTTTAATTGAGGTTTAGTCCATTATCATCATGTCAGGGAGCATGCAGATATGGTGCTGGAGAAGCAGCAGTGAGCCCTACATCTTGCAGGCAACAGGAAGTCTACTGTCACACTGGGCAGTATCCTGCGCATAGGAAACCTCAAAGCTCACTCCACAGTGACACACTTCCTCCAACAAGGGCATACCCACTCAAACAAAGCCACATCTCCTAATGGTTTCCCTGCCTATGAGATTATGGGGCCCAATTACATTCAAACTACTACAGCAGGGGTTAGTGGACTATAAAACAAAAACTGAGCAGAGGGGAATTCAGGGAAAGAGATAGCATATAGGGTGGGGAGGATGGGATCGGGATTGCAGGAATTTGCTTTTCAAATGTGGGGGGACATGTGTCTCATTTAAATACATGGAAAAGAAGACACTGAGGCACATATGCCTGTATAGAGAAAAGCTGGCACAAAGTGTGTAGCTTATATCCAGTAAGCCATCATCTCATGTGCTGGAGCTGTATAGAAGTCTCCTTTTCAGAAAGTAGAGCAGAGCCTTCTTAGGGTCCCTGGGGAAGAGTTAATGGAAGAAAACACCAAAAAGAAGACCCGGTCACACATGGAATGGACAGGATTCCACGGCTGACCTCTGAGATCTCTTGTAGTGTCTGATCAAGATGTGGGTTACAGGCCATTGGCTTAGCTACACCTTGCTTAGTGGCTCACAAATACTAGGCTCAGTGACCTATCCAAAATGCCAGTTCTCTACAGCTGGGACCTCTCAGACACAAAATCTCAGGTATTAAGTTAATAAGCTCCAGGGTTTCCTGTAGTGTTGGCAGAATGACGAAGAAGCAGGAAGTGGCCTGTGAAGAAGCACAGGGTGTCTCCTAATCAATGCCCTTGAGTCTCTGATAGTGCTCAATTCACAGCCATCCTTGGAAGTCTCTTTCATTTGAAGCTGAAAGCAGTTCTGTGAAGAATTTTGGTGGTCTTGGTTTAACTCACAATAAGATCAAGATCAAGATCAAGCCTTAGCAAGCTAAAGACTGCTTTCCTCAGCATGCTTCTAATAGGTTCAGTTCAGACTTGGTAGACAAAGCCAAATTCTTCTGTGTCTTCTCTGTGTTGTTTTTTTTAGGGGGGGGTGTAGCCTGGCTGGGAGAGGCAAGCAGAGCTGCAGGTATTGAAATGGTGGAGTAGACTTGTTGTAAAGGGAGTCCTGCCTGTAACAGGAACAGAAGTGGACAAGAAAGGTTGCAGAGAAGAGGAGGGGAAGAGTAGGGAAAGGGAGGGTGAATCCCAGCCTAGGTGCCTGCTCTGAGAGCTGGTATGATGGAGATATGGCAGGAGACAGAAAGAAAGCAGAAGGGAGAGGCCGTGGAAGGTAATCTGGGGAGGCTGAAAGGTGGGATGGAGACTGCTGGGGGTGTGACGGCACACGATGGAAAGACCCTGGAATACTTACATCCCAATTCTCTGTCCCTGGACCAGGACTGCTTTACAGGGGCAGACACTCTTGAGTATTTTTTCTCTTAGGAGCCTGCCCCACACTTGAGCTTCATTGCAGAAGCATGGGCCAGACAGGAAGTCCCACAAATTAGAAGTTGCCTTTTCTCCCATTTCTACCACTGATGTGCCCAGTAGTGTGTGGGATGGGAGAGGGACTTTGGTTAGACTCAGTAAGGGGTAGGGTACATTGTGTATAGAGAATTTTAAATCAGCCATACAACCGTCTTAGATGCCTTTCAGTATCACCACACACAGGTGGTTTCAAACAATGGCAGTAATAAAGTATTTCCCTATCCTTTCTGCTACCACTATGATCTCCCTGATTCCCAAGGGCTAAAGTTAGGACAAAAGTCTGGCCTGGAGCCTACTCTGAGTAGCTCCAACAGAAAAAATCTAACTAACCACAGCCTTCTCTAACGCCATCCCATCCACTCAGCAGCAAACAGGAAGAAATAGATGTATGTGTGAAACTCCACCCTGGGGAGCATCCTCAGTAACTCCTATTATTACACAGACCCTGTCTTCCTGACCTAGACTCAATTGGCTCTTATCAGGCTTGGTATGATCAGGGTACTGCATCTTTGAGATGGTGTTTTCTACCTCATCTGAGCCTACTCCCAACAGATGTCTGGTCCCTAACTTAGGATATTATTCTGTGGTCTCAAATGAATCCCTAAATCCTCCCTCACCCCCTCCCCCACTTATTTGATTAGAAGGGTGCATTGTATGTGTGCTGCAGTGTTCCTGTGGAGGTCAGAAGACAACTCATGGGAATCCGTTTTTTCGTTCCGTCATGTTGGTTCTATAGACTTAACTCAGACCTTCAGGCTTGGTAGCCGTGGCCTTTGCTGGTTGAGCCGCCTTGCCAGTCTTCACCTCCATTTGTGATCTTAGAGAGCAACTATGACTGATTTTCCACACTGAGCATTTTATCATTTCCTAAAATATCCCACTGGGGTTCCCACATCTCCATGTTATCCAATGAGTTGTTCCAATCTCCATGGTGTTGGGGCTGAAATTTAGATGTGCTCCCAAACAATGGAACACACAGCCTAACTGTAGGAGTTGGTCTTAGATGCCTGTGAAGCCCCAGACCCAGTACTGTAAAGCAAGTATTGAAAGACTGGCAAGTAATGGGAGAACTGTGAATGTCTTGCAGAAATCTCCTTCCGAGTCTGGATGTGTGGCGGCAGCCTGGAGATCATCCCCTGCAGCCGGGTAGGGCATGTCTTCAGGAAAAAGCACCCGTATGTGTTCCCGGATGGAAACGCCAACACATACATAAAGTAAGTGCATGCCATGGCCCAGTCTGTATGGACAGTAGCAAGGCAATGGAGGCCAAGTGTTTGCAACCAATTCTGAGCTCTGAGTGCCCTGGATGATGAATGAGTTGCACACCTGCAACTTGGACTCAGCCTGAACAATTGGCATTGGAGCCACGGCTTCCTTGGCCATGATTTGAAAAGCCCCACCAAGCCCACCCACACCCACCTCATTCCCTAGAGCCTCAGTAATTAAAGTGCCTGGTTAGATCCATCCTCAGGGGCTTTGCCTCTAGGTATTTGGGAAGGGGAGGGGAAACAGCTGGGTCCCTCGGGGAATGACCCCTGGGAAGAAGCAAGAGATGGGAAGCACTGGAGAGTACAGCATTGTTCCTGCTCAAGGACCTCCCGGCAGACTAGAAGAATCCAGAGGGGCACTTCTGATAATCCAGCTCCATGGTGTCTCACCTCAATCAACACCCCTATAACTTAGCTACAGATCAATGACTCCTTGCCCGTCTTTCCCTCTCCCTTTCCTTCATTCATCTCCTGCTCGGTGTTTTTCCTCGTTAGTTCTCGTTTGTCAAAATAGTCATGCATGTTTATTTTTCTTAGGATTTTAAAAAAAATTTCTATGTATATGCAAGGAGGACGAAGGTGCCCTTGTGAATGCGGCCTTTAGTGGTCAGAAGAGAGCTGAAGGTACAGGCAGTTTGTGTGCCACCTAATGTGGATGCTAAGGACCAATCAAATTTGAATCCTTTGGAGGAGCAGTGCCCACTTAACTGCCAAGCCACTGCTCTAGCCTCTGGCTGCCTTAGAATATTTTTCTCTAGCATTTATTGCTTACTTTGATCTTCTTGTCTCTTGACATCCACATGCTTCACTCATCCACCTAATTAATCTCCTTTCCTCCCCCACCACTGTTTGGTGTTGGGGAGGGGGCTTCACATCCTTTGATTTTGACTTACTTATTTATGGTGTTCTTTCATGATTTATTACACACGTGAATACGTGTGTATCATATATCCTGACACAGCTGGCTCAGGAGGCATGGGTTTAAACACTGCTCAGATTTGCATCTTGCAAAGCAGGGTGGGTAAGGAGAGGAGACATGAAGCAGCTGGCTAGGGAGCATGAGGGAAACAAAGGCTGAGCCACCTTTGCTTTTGAGTTTTGTAACTATAAAGGTAGCCAGGGATGTCTGGCATATAGCACAGTTAGCATGACTGGCTGTGCAGGAGCCAGAGACTGACTGATGGGGCTGGCCTGGGAAGCATAATCCTGGGGCTTCAGATGCCCATCCTGTTGAAATTGGGCTTATGCTAGTTAGCATCCTTGCAGGCCAGTGGTGGGCCATTCTGGTTAGAGAAAAGAGGCAGAGTGTTTGTAAAGCAGCTTGTAGCTTGCAGATAGTGAAGCCACTTGCAGGGACTAGCCAGGTACCCCCAAGTTGCCTGTGTGTAGGGAGACACTGTAGCCCCGCCTCCTAGTAGCCCCTAGAGGTGTGTCTGGCCACACCCATGAGGGCGTGGTCAGGGGGAGGTTGTGGAGACAATTCTTAAGGGGCAGCGAACACATGGAGCTCCCTTCTCTCTGGCCACGCTAGCTTGCTGCCTCTGGGCACGGTCTGGCTTGCGTTTGGGCTGGTGTTTATCTGAATAATGAAATCTTAGCATTACGGCCTCATCTTTGAGTGCTCACAATACCTGTGCTTACCTCTCCTTTCAGATCCCAGCTCAGAAGGGTTTGCCGTGCTCCTCTATCAAATATCTGTGCTCTAAAGTAGACCTAAAAACCTAGAAGAGCAAGCTGGCTTTAGTTAAACCCAAGTTCACTTTCTCCTGTGTGCTTCTGTTGCCCAGACCATCAGCCCTCAATATTTTCTGATCTCTCTCCTTTTGACTTCAGGGAACTTCCTGGGACACCCCCTCCCCCACTATTGAATGATGACAATCATTCCCTCTTTCTCTGTCTCTCTTCCTTCTATGGTTACCTTTAGGGTTGGGCTCAAGCACATGTCTGATAAAAGCCCAACATACTGGCAAAGTGCTGAAAGAGATGGCTTGATTGGTAATTCCTTATATGTGGCCATTGCTTGGACTGTGTGTGCCTTAGCAATGTGACCTTACTCTTAGGGAGCTGAGACCCCAACATGTCCCCTGTGGGAAAGTGGAGGGCCTTGGAGCAAGAGCTCACTAACCAAGTAGACCCAGAGGTCAACTGGTCCTCACAAGCCCCACTTTTTTTACTCAATAGTGACAGGCAGAAAATGGACACACCTACTTCTCCTGGTACTTTTCTGCTTCTTTGAGAGTAAGCAAAGTTCAGTTTCTGATATGATTTTCTTCCGATCTGTACCTTTTGGGAAAAAGTTGTTGGTAGTACTAAAGTCCTGTGTCTTGGGGTACCTTTGGAGATGGGGGACACTTGCTTGTGCTCTGTATTCTAGAAACATTGATGTGAACACCTCTGTCCTGATGGCTGCTATCAATTTTGCCCTTGTGTGTGTATTTCACCTGGGAATGTGCACAGATAATTCCCAGACGAGCCCCCTCTTGAGACTCCTTATCTCTCTAGGAACACCAAGCGGACAGCTGAAGTATGGATGGATGAATACAAACAGTACTACTACGCAGCCCGGCCTTTTGCCCTGGAGAGACCCTTTGGGAAGTAAGTGTGCACTGGCTGCAAAGAGCCAAGAACTGGGGACCTCATCTCATGGGCCCATTACTTTAGCTGTCTCTAAGTGCCTCCAGGTCTAGAGCTATGGCCACTCTGATTCCAGATCCCTTTATGCCCCACCCTGTTCTGGGTGTGCACGGCTTTTGCCAGCTCTCCTGTGACTCCATTCCTAGATGACTGCTCTAATAGAGGGAACTGAGCATAGGTAGATGGATAGCTGTTTGCATAAAGGAAGCATGAGTTACTGGTCCCTCCAGGTTGGAATTTCTTCCTTGACTTCTTTCTTCCTCTCCTAGCTTAAGCTCTGCTCCTTCCTTAGAGGAGGAATGCATGCTCACATATCTTCTTCAGCATCAGTCAAGCTTTGTGGGCGCAGATGAGAGGGGAAGAAGGAATGTGTATGAAATGCTAGGTTCTGCTCCATGAAGAGTCTCTTTAATCTTCCCTAAACTCTGAGAGTTGCAGTTACCCTGCTTGATGGGTAAGGAGACTGGAGTCTATGCAGAGGAGAACACAGATCACAGCTGAAGGTTCACAACACACTGCTTCCCAAATTATATGACCTTGCACTTCCCAGGCCCAAGCTGGCGGGAGTAAGAAAACATTGCAATTTCCCTTAGTTATCATTTGCGTTTCTTGGGGAGGGGGTGGGGCAAACATGACATTTTGTCCTACTAGTTCCACTCACTCATCATATAAGTCCATTGAGCAGATGGTCTTTTGAAGCCTAAACCTCTCAGGTTGAGTTCATCCCTGTACCAGAGGGTCAGATGGGAGCCAGCCAAAGTGATTGGCACCTCTGACATCACAGTCCAGGTCCGCCCTCCAGTGTGCTCACTCCACCCCTCCAGAGGCATTGCATCTTGTCCACAGCAGAACCGTGGGTCCCCTGACCATGTCTCATTGACCTCATTTCTTCATTCACTTCCCTCTCCATGTGAGAATCCTTCTTCTCTTACTTAAAGACAGACCTCAGAAAGTTTGGTCCTCCAATCTTTTACTCTGTTGTCCACCTAGTGACACTTTCCCCTACACACACACACACACACACACACACACACACACACACACGCACACACAATATGCTTTTATATGTCTTCCTCCCCTGCACACAGGCTGCTGGGCAGTCTTACAGAATTTCAGATGCTCCCACAGATAGTACTTCATGGCCTTGTTGTTAGCAAAGTCACATGAGCTCTCCTGGCCCTGCTCTTTCCTAACTAGCTCAAAACCACTGCTTCTATTAAACCTACTTCACCTCTCCCCACCCCTGAGCCTACCCCCTCCTTTCTCTTGCACACATGACATCTAGTTTATGGATGAAATAGACAATATTGATTTCCCAAGACAAATCGACCCATTAGCCTGGCCACAACTGTACCATCCTTCTTGCTCTCCTTTGTCTCTGCGGACAGGTGTGCTTCCTGTATTAGTAAGCCAGCCCTCCTCTGGATGCACCATTCATGCCTGTATTCATTCATAAATCAGCATTTTATCACATTCCCACAGTCTGCATTCATCTCCCCCAGCCTGCTGGTGCAGGGCCCCTCAAACTTTAATGAGCACACAGATCTCCCAGGGAGCATGTTAAAACGTGGAATCTGATTCCTGAGGTCTGTGTTTCTAATAAGCTCCCACGTGATGCTGTGCTGCTGCCGGAGGATCCTAATTTGAGGAACAAGTTTCCATGTTTCGGTTCTCAAACTAACCTGTCAGTGGAATTACCTGCAGATCCTCAAAGCCCCAGCTGCCTGAGCTCAGTCTCCAGAGGGCTGGTTTTCTTGGCTTTCAAATTAGGAGAGGGTCCAGAATTGCAGATAGTGGCACTTGCCCTAGTCCAGGCACTTTCTCCCTCCACCTCCTTGGTTCACATTTCCTGTATCATTCATTCCCTTCCATGTTTGCATCTACTGCTTGACTTAAAAGAGAGGGGGTGAAAAAATACACCATAAAACCTACTTTGAAGGCGGCATTGCTCACCATGTCTGTGCCTGCCCAGAACCAAGCATCACAATGTAGTGGTCTGCCTGTGCTGCCTCCCCCAGGCACTGTAGCTCTTCCCAGCACGCTTAGTCCAACCCCTCCCTTCTGGTGTGCCCTTGGCTCCTACGCTTCCAGTCTTTTTGTTGTTCCTGGATCCTGTGTCCTCCATCCTAACTCCATGCTTAGTTTCTTCCTCCCAACCCTGGTCTTTCTCTGAGATTCTGTCCTGTCTTCTTTTCACTAGACATCCTCCTGGTGATACTGCCATCTGTTCACCACTCTGTTTCTAACTGTAGCCTTTCCTCTGGGCTACAGTTTCTTACACCCAAGTATCAAATGGCCACTCCTACCTGGATGTCTCCCAGATACCTCCAGTGTAACAAGTCCCAAGCTAAACTCATTTTGTTCCTGAATCTGTCACTCATCCCATATTCCCCATCCAACCCCACAAACTTTCTTACACCATATGAGCCAAGTCACTAGTCTGGGTATCACACTAGTTCCCCTTCCTTGACTTGTTTGAGTGATCGCCATGTCCTGATGATGTGCTGCTGCTTCATTCGAACCCTGAGAACCCAGGCTCTTTCTGAACACAACATATCAAGCATGTGGAAAGCATGCCATGTCTCTTCCCTAGGAGCTGAGAGGTCTGGTGAGGAAGTGCGCTATGTGCCTTAAGAATTTTTGAGGCTGGCAGTGAAGCTCAGTGGTAGAGCAGTTGGCTGGTGTGCATGAGGCCCTGGGTTTGAGTCCCAGCACAAGAAGGCCGGGGGGTGGGGGGGTTGGGAAGAAGAGAAAGAAAAGTAGTTTGGGTAAAGTCTTGGAAAGGAAAAGGGGTGGGAGGAAGGGGGCTGGAGAGGAGGCAAGGCTACTGCTATTGGTTGCCCACAGAGGACAAGGTTTGACTAGTACTTAGGTAGAGTGAAGGAAAAGAGTGGAGGATTGACCATGTCCATTCCCACCCAATTCACTAAAAGGAGTATAATGACACCCAGGATTATACAGTCACCATCCACTTGTCCTCTGTCCCCGCCTCTGCTCCAACTGGCCCATTCCAGAAGCAGTGTTAAAATTTCCTTAAAGCAATTTCATGTCATACTCTAAACAGGGCCCACCAAGTCCATCCCAGTGCCCTGGAGTTAGCATCAATACCCTTCAGCAGTTCCTCATGTAGATCTCTGTGGACTCACATCCCCCATTCACATGCACTTCTGTTTTAAGGCCACGTGGCCAGTGTTGTTCCTGTAGCTGAACCCTTTGACTTGTTAGCAACACTGATCTCCACTTTCCAACCCATCCCACCTACATCAGGACCCCTGCCTCACCCATCCTTGGCTTCTCTGGATGGCTATGCTTCCTTCCACAAACCAGCATCAATAGCCACTGTTCTCTTGAGTACCATGGACCCATCAAACAAGAGTGCACCTCCACAGTGTCCTTATGCCCTATCTTTGGGGGTACTTGAATCAGTATCTTGTACTACTATTCTGAAGCTTTTATGTGCCACACCGAATGAAATTCCTGTCTCAGAGAGAAGTTCAGTGACTATCTGATGGACAAATGTGTGATAAAACCCTGATACCTTCCAGAGAAGAGGTTGCTCTGAGGCTGGGGCAGTCAGGAAGGGTAGTCCAACCACAGAGGGACTTGAGTGAGGGTAGATCCAGAGTCCCAGCAGTCAATTATTAACAACACACTCAGCATTCTTGCAGCGTGGCTTTTCATGAAGATGGCAAATACTCCCAATTCCACTTTCAAAGAAGACCACAAGTCCTTGGTGTCATTACTACCTCATCAAGAGACAAAGTTGGGTGTTTTCATAGGTCTGTCCAGAACTAGAGAAATCTCTGCTTGATTCATTTTCTCAGTACCCTTTAGAGATGTGTGGTGCAGAGCATGTCACTGGTAATGGGGAGCCACTGTTGTAGATTACTCCTCTGACAACCATGGTTTGTCTCTGTGTCCCACCCTCCAACCCCATCATTCCAGCATTGAGAACAGGCTGAACCTGAGGAAGAATCTACACTGCCAGACCTTCAAGTGGTACCTGGAGAATGTCTACCCAGAACTCAGGTACACCTATCTGCTAGAACCATAGCTAGCTACAAGAAAAGTCCTTTCCAGCCTGGTCTGGTAAAGTCATGACCCACAGCTGACTGGAGGAGAATTTTTAAGTCTATGGGGGACTGTGCAGACCAATCAGTCCGGCTTATCCTAAAGCCAGAGGAGAATTATGTTGAACTTGATAGCATGAGAGACTGGGCTTAGATGATAGTGCAATTTCTCAATTGCTGGGGGTAATTTGTAACCTGTGCTATGCTAAGAGCATTGTATTGATTGTATAGACTCCATCCTAGAGGTCCATCTGCTGTGTGTCTCCTGAGGGTCCCGTGCTGTTGGTCCCATCACACCAACAGCATCCTTCCCTCCTCCAAGCAGTGCCAACCTTTGTGATAGCTCCAGGGGAGACGGCTCTGCCCTCTCAAAACACACCCCTAATCTGTCTAGCAGTTAGCAGCACTAATGTTAAAAGCAATGTGTTCTCATCTGTCCGTGTGGCATTCCTACAGGGTCCCCCCAGACTCTTCCATCCAGAAAGGCAACATCCGGCAGAGGCAGAAGTGCCTGGAGTCTCAAAAGCAGAAAAAACAAGAGACTCCACACCTCAGGCTAAGCCCCTGCACCAAGGTCAAAGGAGAAGAAGCAAAGTCTCAGGTAGAGTAACTGACGGGTCATAGCTCTACATGCCATGGAGAGTAGAGATGCCCAGATTAGCCTTGGCCCCTGCTTTGACCTGACATCAGGGGTCCAAAATGGGACAGTAGGACATTTCTTGCTTAATTGCTGACTTTTTTCCCACTTGGTCACTAAATACATGGAATTCCTTTGAAAGATGGCTTCCAAGTGGCATCTGCCCTTAGGAGATGATCCAGGTAATTTAACAGGAACCCAAAGAGACTGGGAGCTATCTCCTACCTACAGGCAGCAGACATGAGGCTGGGTCAGACAGGGAAAGTCACGTGAGCTAACTCTGCCAATGTGGCATGCAAAGAGGAAAAGAAACCTGCTGCTAGATGTTGAGATAAGATGCCCATGTGGTGAGTTTCCCAGCTGGCTTCCAGGCCATCATATCACACTTGGCTAAACCACCTCCGTCCAGTGCCCTATCCCTGGGCATCACCCTCCTGCTTCCCCTATGTCTGTGAATTGTTTGGGGCTCTTTCCCAAGAAGATTTCCTTGTTCCTTGCTTGGTTTATCAACAGATCACACCCTATCCAAGCACTGTGTTCTGCCAGTATTCCTCCCTTCTGAAGCTAGGCATACTATTTTCAAGGTCACTGGCAAATTCACCACCTGTCTCAACCTCCATAGCACTTGTTCGAGCACAGCCTTTGCCTGACTCCCCTCTCTGCCTTGTAATTTCACAGGACCTCTGCCTTCTTCTCCTCCTGTCCAACTTCTTGTCTAGCTCCTTTCCCCAACTTTGTGGTGTTTACTGAGGTTCTCAGTCCACTCTTTTTTTTCCTCTATAAACTCTCAGAGCTATTACCCATAGTTCCAGCTCTGACCATCTCCTGTTTATTGATTCACAAATTCTGTGCCTTCATGCATCATTTATTCACTCAGCAGACATTGTTAACTCTGAAGTTGCAGAATGGCAAGGCTAGACTGCAGGAGGAAATGTGTAAGCAGCCACTGTGATCTAGTCACTCTGATCTAATTTCTGTCCCTGGGCATTTGTCACTGATAGTATAGAAACAGCAATGTGGCATCCAAGTTCTGAATGAGCATTGCAAAGTTGTCCCAGAGGATTTGAAATTGGCTGTGTTTTGAAGTAGAAACAGACAAGGCCAGAAAGGGAAGAGAGAGGGTGACCCAGGAAACACAGCATAGACTATGACCTGGTGGCAAGTACAAGGATAGACTTTAGGGAAACTGAGGTCACAAGGTAGAGTGAGAACAAGTTGAGATTAGAGAGAAGCAGGAACTGGATTACTGTCTTTCTTCCTCAGGAAGTATGTTCCCTGAGGAAGCTGAGCTTTGTCTCATTAATGAGACCTCTGTAAAGTCCCCAGTAGAGGGCTCTGGGAATAGAAGGTTCACAGTTAGGAAATCCCACATGGACTGTGGCTCAAACACTGGGTGACAGAGTCAAACTCCCCTGTGATTTAACTCTGCAGATGGCCATGAGCACCCAGGCTACCTGGCAATGCACAAGTCTCTGTAAGTGTCACCCTTTGCCCTGGTGCCATGGTTCCAATTCTCACTAGTGTCTTAGGCTGTCTTCCTCTTATAGTCCCTTGTATCTGCAGTCCACCATGTTCTCCCCAGAAAAAAGTCTTCTCATGTTCCATCCTCACTTATTCCTGCTAGATCTCCATTTCCCCAAGACCAGCTCGGTTGTCTTTGGGAGCAAGGTAATTCTTTTAAAATGTCCCTGTTGAGAACCTTTGTGTTAGATTATGGCCACAGCCTCTAAGTGTTCCTCCTACCCTGTCTCTCATCCCCACTTCATGTTTGGTCTCTAAACCACATCCCTTACTACAGCCTTCAGTGCCTCTCTGCTGTTCACAAAAATCTACACTCTCAAATCTGGCTCGGGCTTGAAATGACTTTGCCAGAAGCAGCCTCCGCTCCAAACAGGGCAGAGGAGGTGGTATGGGAGTTAGATTAGACTGGAAAGGAAAGGAAATGGAGGTGTTCAGTTTTACTTTAGGTGTGGCTGCCTGGATGACAGTGACACAGTTTGCTTAAGTGGCACTTTGTAAAGCACTGTGAGTAGGTGATGCTTCTCTCTGTGAGTCTGAGTGTGGGTGTTGCTCATGAGAATTCCATCAGTCAAAATGGTGTCTGGCCCCTTCCCTGGAACAGGATTTGCTTGGTCTATCCCCCAGCTGAGCAGAGCCTGTCTGGAACTAACCAACTTTGGTTGCATAAGGAATGGGAGGGAAGGCCACTAACTCTCTGGGCCTCAGAGAGGATCATTCAGTACCCAGTCCTAGGAGAGGTAGCAGGGTCATGTTCACCTGGAGAAAAATGACCCATCCCAGCTGTCCTTTCAGCTGACCTTTCTGAGAAAGGAGGAAGGCACACAATGGTAGGTGCTTGGGGCCAAGGAGGAAAGGCCTGGAGGTCCAGAGTGCTCTCTTGGTGAGGCAGTGGTAGACTGCTGCTCTGCTTTGAGATAATGGCTGGTTTGTGTGACTTTCAGATGCTAAATTACTGAGAAATAAAAAGAAGTTCAGTTAACAAACTGGATTGTAGCATCTTGGGTACCATACTACCTTCTGGGAAGGCAAGGTGGACTCATTCAGAATTAGACACAGCCCCATTCTCCAAGGGTACACAGCCCAGCAGCAGGGCTGCGCTTCATTTTCAGGTATTCAGAAGGAAATCCACATAACCATTTCCACCAGCATCATCTCCATGAGATGAACACATATGTCCACCTGTTGTATATCTTCATAGGACTGACTTGTGATCTTTTCTTTTTATAGGGTCCTCTTCCTCATTCCCCATAAATCTCCATTGTTGTCCCCTTCATCTCAACCCTGTCTGCAAACATCAGCACTCATGAGGGCTCCTTCTCCTTAGCATAGCTCTGTTCTTTCCTATCTTCATCTTTACTACCTTTCTTGACTTGGCCTGACCGGAAGGTGATATCTACCCTTGGACTCTGTCAATGTCTCTTCCTGCACCTACCTCTTCAGTTGCTGAGCATCCATAGCAAGGGAGTGGTACAAGAACCAGATGAAGTAGGTATTACTCTTATCCCTACTTCACAGCTCATGTCACCAAGGCTCCCAGAGATTAACTAGTGTCATATATTAGTGGTGACACAACCACACACACACACACACACACACACACACACACACACACACCAACTCTATCCAGCAGTTCTCTGGTGCTTGTTATAGCAAAGTCATGGTTCCAGGGCTTTATGATGTGTTTAGTCATGGCAGAAGACACCTGTCTGTGAAATTCTTCTTAAAGGTTGTGAATATTAAAATATGAACCAGATCCATCTTGACAGGAGGGTCTTTGTCATAGCCAATCTCCAGCGACAAATCCAAAATCAAAAGTCATACCCCTGTAAGAAGATCTGGAATCAGTGTCCTCCCTAACATTTGTAAGAACTTGGGCAAGAGTATGCCTGGGGAATCTCTGTTCTACAAATGATATACCATACTCCAGAGACAAGCTATTCTGGCTTGCTGCCTTTGCCTGGCTCCAGTTTCTTCCCATTTCTGTCTGTCCTGCATGATGAACTCTAAGCTTTCATATCCAAGTATAATCACTTCCCTTGAAAGCCAAGGTATATATATCAGAGACACACCCTACCCTGAGAGCACAATGCACAAAACCAGGCATTGGATCAACACAAATCCTGAGATCAGGTTGGAGCCATTGGGTAGTTGGGACAAGGAGGTTCAAGTTCTGCCTCTAGCTAACATTCACTTGCAAGGTAGGTAAAACCCAGGCACTGGGATGTCCTCATGCCTGCAATGGTACTCCTTTGATTTAGTTTGATTTGTTTATGTTGGCAGGGCTGGGGATCAAACCCCAGAGCCTTATGGCTCTCCAACCATGCTACATGCCCAGCATGTAGGCTATTTAATCCAGTAGATCTAATAATTGTTCTTCCTCAACCCCAGCCCATCCATCCCACTCCCTGTCTTACCTTCATTCTTGCTGGCTTATCCTTTGGAGCAAAATGCTGAATTCACATGTTTCAAAGATGCTGGCAAACTGATGCCCTGGGGTAATGCATGAGGCATACATCATGCATTTGAAAACCTGTGAAGCCCCAGATGTCTCTAGACTAATACCTTTCCTCTTAACTTCACTGAATTCTCTGGAAAAATGTCCATGAAAGGCAGAAGGAAGACAGATGCTCCACTCTGGTTTCTATTCCAAATTAAAGGAAACATAAGATGGGTTTGCGGTGTATTTGTGCCCTGCCCAGCCAGTGGTTTAGGCTCCCGGTTTGTGGAGCAGAAGGCAGCAGCTGGGAACCCCAAGGGCAGGTGTGATTGAAAGTGCTCCGTGTATCAGCAGGCACACAGACACCTCCAGGGTACAGATCTCAAGTCTGCAGTGGAAAAAGCTACCAGCCCATTGCCTCCTGCCCCCTCTTCTTCAGAGTTCCTTATCACAGTCTGGGAATGGCCCCTCAAAAGAGCCACTCCAGCCTGTGTCTGCAATAGTTTCCAAAGGAGAGTCTAAAGGGATGTATCTTTCTTGCATTGCTCTGAGTCACTGGTGTCACCATCAGAAACAGTAACTAAGCCTTTGTTAAATGGAGATCACTATTCTGAATATACATGTATTAGCAATATATTCTATACAGTGGCCCTCTTACTAGTCTCTTCATATTGTACTTATGGTTATAGAAGTAATTCACCAAGAGTTTACAAAGTTATTAAGCTGGTGAGCAGGGATCCTCACCATGGTAGCTACCCCAGAACCCAACCCTGTGATACAACAAAACAAAGTGGGTATGGGGCTTTAATCCCACATATTAGTTATTCCAGCAATGTAGGAGAAGACAGGTTGGAAACAAAGGAACAATCTTAAGCATGAGTCCACTGAAGATGCCCAATCAAGAGAAATACGCATCTAGGAATCTGCTGGGTTACCCTGCGGTCTCCAGGCTGGGAGCCATCTCTAAGATGGAACTGGGGTCTGTGCCTCCATATCCAAGGAAGAGAGTGAGCCCAACATGGCCTGGAAGCCATTCATGCTGTTGTCAGCCATTCATGCTGACTCCCTTGATCCTGTAGAGAACTTGTACTGAGTCAGAAGTTTTGTTGGACCTGGTTCATTCGTTCCAGGCATCTATCTATTTGAAAGGAACCCTGCAAAGGTGTGTTTGTGCCCTGATAGGTTTTCCTGTGTGGTCTAAAGAGGATATCTTGGGTCCATCTCATCTGAGGAGAGCTCATATGCAGAGTGAGCCCAGAAGCTGCTCCCAACATTGCAGAGTAACCATCGACCACATTGATCCTCACTTCCATGAAACTGTTTCTAAGTAAATAGACTATGAAAGGGCTTGAACTTCAACAGGACCAGCAATATTGTCTTGGGCCAGCTCTGTTTTCTCAGTTCTTTAATTGCCTTAGAAACACAAAAGTCACCATCATCAGTAAAGGCCATTAGCTCCTGCTTATCTCCTAGGAGGGTTGGGTTGTTGCTCCTCACCAAACATTCCTTCACACAAGGACACACCACTCTTGGAGCTAGTACACACAGGCAGGGCCAGAATCTGGGCCAAGTGTTCAGCAGGCACGATCTTGTTTACACCTTGCAATAGTTCCTCAGATGGGTCCTGTCCTGTTATCACCCCTACTTGATAGATTGGGTGATCTAGGCACACTAACCAGGATGTACATGAATGATACCTAAGAGTTTAGGTGTAGGCCTGCAGATTATCTTATGATAGTGTTAGCATGATTGTCCTTTTTCATGGGGACTGTCCTGTACCTTGCAGGGTATTTATCAGTGTCTCTGCCCTCCTTGCTAAATGCCCCTAAACCCAGTCTTAATAATTCAGTAATGTCTCCACACACTGCATTTCTTCAATGGGATAAAAAGCAAAGTCTCCTTGCTCTAGGCTGATGACTTCCTGTCTATCAAAGGATGGACGCCTGGGCCATTCCAAGATCAGCACCTCTGCCTGGCATCACCCTTACCCTTCTCTCCCTTAGTTCTTGGTGCATCTTAAGAAAATCTTTCCTTACTAATTTTTCATTCAACTGAAAACGGTAAGTCCTGGCCAGACCAGGCATCACTGTGGTCCCTTTGCATCCCAGCTGCAGCTCCAGAACATTTGCCAGAGAGAGAAGTCTACTGTTCCTGCCATTAAGCACTCTGTTCCAGCAGTGGTAGGAAGAATGGCCTCTGAGTGCAGTGTCCCCAGTCTAATAGACTAACAAAGGAGTTCAAGGACCAGGAGTGAACCTCTCTCCTCAGCCCATCCCCATAGAAAGCCAAAGCGGTTCACATCAGCTCCTAGACTGGTCCTTGGGTTACCTTCCCTAGGAGTGGAATGGGACATCCGTCATGAACAGCACTTCCACCAGGCTCTGAATGGAGCCATCGATAGAGGGTCCTATAATCCTGAATGGAGGACAGATCTGCTGAGTATTCCTGCTGCCACCTTTCCTTTTGTTTTTTGTTTGTTTGTTGTTTGTTTGTATGCTTTCTGGAACTGGGGCCTGAACTCAGGGCCTTGCTTGCTAGGTAAACATGTTACCACTTAGCTAAACCCCCAGCCCTCCCCTCAATGACTGTCTTCTTAGGGTATATTTCTGACTCAGGATTCATTTAATAAACCCATTCATCACCAGTTCCTCCAGGAAGTGTGAGGGACACAGAATGGGACATTGACTCTTTGCTTTAGTTCCTCCTGCCCACCTGCTCCTGACTTCTGCTTCCAATCTCTCTTCTTTCTTCGTGCATATGGGGCCAGAGATCAGCCCTGATCCTCCTCAGGGAGATTAAATACCAGGAAAACCCCCAATTAGTGCTTGTGTAAGGAGTGTGTGTGTGTGTGTGTGTGTGTGTGTGTGTGTGTGTGTGAGAGCAGCAAGTGCCACTCTTAACCACAGACATCTCTCTAGCCTCCTTGTATAAGGACTTTTGTGGTGGCTTCCTGTTCACAGGTTCCTCTTGCAGATCCTTAGAGTGGCTTTCTTAGACCCCGGGTCTGGTGTGCCCCCTCTCAAGAGGCATTTCTGAATGTGGAGTCTCACGTCAAGAGAACCTATCCCTGCCACTTCTAGGCCCTTATTAAGCTGTTAAAAGGAAAGACAGACAAGGTGTGTTTTTAGAAACTGTGGTGTGTTTTAAGGTTTTAGAAACTGTGGTGTGTTTAATCCCTTAATGCTTTTAACACAAACAATACAATGCTGTGTATTGTGGTGATTATATGATAATGATAGGATTTATTTTCGAAATGTTAATTTGTGCTTCCCAGTGGGCTACAGAGCAGTAACAGAAGAGACTAACTCATTTTTCCATCTCTGATTGAAGTCTTATTTTCGGGGGAGGGTAAAATCTAATAGATTTCAGACCAGTGGTCCTATGGGCCCACAGACAGCCCCCTGCAGCTCTACCCTTGGACTCAGCCCTTGGGCTTTTATCTTTTCCACAAGGAGAAATATTCTCAGCCCCAAATGCAGATTGCCATACTAGATCACACTCCTGATGCCTAGGGCACCAGAGTCATCTGCCCAATGCCCCAGCCCAGTCTCAAGACCCATGTGGACTTCATGCCTGGCTTTGGTCTCTCAGTCACTAATACACATATCCATACCCATTTAGGGAATGTCTGTGCTCAAATATACAGGTTAAAGTTGGGAAGAGAATGGAGCAGACAGCCTAGAAGCCAACATTACATGTGTCTCAGAGCCTGGTGTGGCATTCATGAGGCATGGTCCTGTATTCATATTTTTGTCTCAGCTCCCACAAACTGTTAGGGATGGCACCATATGAGGATGTCAGAGACTGAAGAATGCAGACCAAAGGGTAGTATCATTGCTGACATGGAAATTGAAATGAGAGCATGAATATAGGTGAAACCACTTCAGGGACACTCTAGAGCAGCAAGCTGTCTGCTCTCCATTGGCACTGGCCAAGAAGGAGCTCATGAGTAGCCTGGTCCAAAGATAGAAGGGGCACTTCATGCACAAGGATGTAATGAGAAAAGGTACAGCCCCTGGCCGAGTCCCCTCTAACACCTCCCTTGGAGACTAATCATGGATCATCAAAGAAAGGGAAAATTGTTACCTCTTTTCACAACCTGACAGAAAACCTCTTTGTCATGTTGGCAGCTGTTGTACTAGGGCTTGCTGTCCCCCAACTGGGGAACTAGAGATTGCTTGTTAAGCAATCTGCCACTGGTGTCTTGCAGTGACCTCACAGAACAATCCTGTTCCCCATTCCATCAGAGCTCCAGCTTGCTAGTCTGGTTTCTCTACTTGTCCCCCTGCAGGGACTGAAGGGCAGAATCCTTTGCCATGCTAGCACATTGGACTGCACACTCTCTTAAGTAATGTTATTTTGCATAGCTCGCTTCATTCCCAATGTGCCCATTGCCTCCCTTGAGTGCTTCCCTTCTCTTTACCCTTCCATCTGCCTCTTATCATTTTCGTGTTCTCAAGGCAATGGCTTGGAATCCTTTCAAAGAAGAGGGGACATTCTAAAGACATCTGGGGCAGAGGGTAGCCTGTCACTGTTTGAGTTGTTAAATGTGAGCAACAGACTCCCATGGAGACATTGTCTCCAAGCAGACACTAGAGATCATATTCCTCAGCTAGGGTGTTGTTCACCACCGCATGTCATGGCTCAGGACCCAGCATGGGGTGTGGGGACAGGGACTTCATAACAGTATAGACCTTGTTGATAATCATTACTTCCTGAGATCCATGGAACTTCTTATCCAGCTGTATGGGCCATCACATATAGGCATGGTGATACCCCATAGATGGTGGCTGTCCCACTTCTGAGTAAATCTCCCTGGTCTCCTCAGGTGTGGGCTTTCACATATACCCAGCAGATCATCCAGGAAGAGCTGTGCCTATCTGTTGTCACCCTGTTCCCCGGTGCCCCAGTGGTTCTTGTCCTGTGCAAGAATGGGGATGAAAGGCAGGTAAGTACTTGGCAGGCCCTGGGGCAGGGTAGGATTGGGTGTGGTCAACCTCCACAATGTGCCTAGGGTGGGTGTGAGTCTTCCCTAGTCAGAAAAGAGGACATATTGAGAAAGGAAGGGTTAATAAGCAAGAAGTCTTCTAGTCAGAGCCAGGGATGGGAGTCCTGCAATGGTGTCAGTAATAAAGGCCATGTTGGTCCCACTGATCAGTGAATACCTGAAAGTCTGCAGCCTTTAGCTAATATTACCAGGCCTGTTCACTTGGTATGTTCTTGTCACTTACCTGGACTCTTAGACAAGCACCAGGGCCATAGGTGTGGAGGCAACCCAACCCCTTGCCCTCAGTGCTCTGGGCTTTGTTATGTCCTCTGGCAGCATGTACTAGGAGTGTGCTTTGTTTCCTGCCCAGATCTGAGAGACTGAGAGTCAAGAGCTCATTCAGAGTATGGGAGTAGCACATGGGGGGGTCACTGCGTCTGTCTGAGATCTCCCCTTCTCCTCATCAAAAGGGGCTCATATAACCCATAGGAATTATGGGGAAGAAGCATTGTAATGATCTCTATGAAGTACAGAGCTCAGTGTCTAGTCAGGGTTGTGTCCATCCCTCTGTCCTTACCACATATGAGGTTGTCAAGGGACACTGCCTGACATCCACCTCTCTGTGGGCCCTCGGAACAGAATTTGAAGAAGCCCCTTGCTGTCATCTTCACTGCCCCATCTGCTCTTTCTCTAACTTCTTCCTAAAGGAAGACATGTAACATGGGTTTTGTTTTGTTTTTTTTGTATTATTGTCTAACTCAGTCCACATTTTCTATCCTGTTGCTTGGAAAGTTATTGCCTCCTGATGAATTTTTCTAACAAACACTGATTTAACTTTTCACTTTTTAAACTCATTTTAAAAGACTAGCACTAGCGAGATGGCTCAGTGGGTAAAGGCACTTGCAACCAGGCCTGTCCATCTGAGTTTAATCCCTAGAGATGCATGTGAAAAGAGAAAGAGAAAAACAACTTCAACAAGTTATATTCTGGCCTACACACACACACACACACACACACACACACACACACGCAAGCAGATAAATACAAATTTAAAATGTAATAAAAAATAAAAACCTACTGCATGCCAAAATTAATGGCACTTTTCTGCCTTCATGAGACCTTGAAATCACATCTCTGACTGACCACATGTAGTATCATCCCTTCTGATAATGCCTGAGTGATTTGATTAACAATAGAACCCATGGCTTTAGCCAGAAAAGAAATGGGCTCATTTTCTCTCCCCTCTATCTCCTCAGCAATGGATGAAGACAGGTGCTCGAATAGAGCACATAGCATCCCACCTCTGCCTGGACACAGACATGTTTGGCGACAGCACCGAGGATGGCAAAGAAGTCGTTGTCAACCCTTGTGAGTCATCACTCATGAGCCAGCACTGGGACATTGTGAGCTCGTGAGGACCCTGGGCAGATCCAGGTGTGGATCAGGGATGGTACTTCCCTAGACCAAAACAAACTGGCACCCAGGCTGTGGACAGCCCATGTCTGCACCAGATGTCCTCGACTGGAGGTAGAGCAAAGGCCCCCAGGACAGGAGCAACTGTCTCAGGGAAGATGGAGGGAAAGGTGACACACCAGCAGGGCTCAGCAACACCCACAGGTGTACAATATTGTGAAGGTCCATTCTGACCAGGTTTTCTGATTGGGACCTAGAGATGGAGATCCGATGGGAAGTGTTTGTTGTACCCTTTCTTACAAAACAAGGCACCTTATGAAGGCCAGAAGAAAAGCTCTCCTTGTCAAAACACCAGGACTGCATGGTGAGATGAGGAATGGAGATGGTTTTCAGAACAAATAAAGTTAACATTGAAGTTGTCCTTCAATTACTCATGCTGCTTTTTCAGCTCTCAGCACCTAAGTGGGGCTCCCCATTGAGTTAGGGTAGAGTATCTTTGTGGCAGAATGGATGAAGAAGCCAGAAAGATGGGAACTTTTTATGCCGTTATCCTAGGTTACCACCAACCAGCTACAGGATCTTAAAAAGACACTTTAGGGGGCAGGCAAGATGGCTCAGTGGGTAAAGGGGCTTGCCATCAAGCCTGATGACCTGAGTTTGGCCTCTCAGGCCCATATGGTGGAAAGAGAGAGCCGACTCTTACAAATTGTCTTCTGACCTACCACACACACACACACACACACACACACACACACACACACAGAGAGAGAGAGAGAGAGAGAGGCACACAAGCCCACACTCATAGTACCACACACAAAACAAGTAAATAAATGTTATCATTTTTAAGAGCTGGAAGATGGGCATATTTTATAAAGTACTTGCCTTGAAAACACGAGTTTCAACCTTCAAACTCTTATTTAAAAAAAAAAAAAAAAGATAAGTGTGGTACACTCTTGTAATCTTGGAACTAGAGAGACAGAATTGGGTGAATTCCTGGGGCTTGTCAGCCAGCATAGTCTACTGGGCAAGTTCCAGGCCAGTGAGAGACTCTGTCTCCAAAAAAAACAAAACAAACAAAACATGATGGATAGCACTTGTGGAAAAACATCCAAGATTGACTTTTAATCTCCACATACATGTGTGCACACATGCACACACTAACCTGCACTCAGAAACATGTAATACCCATTTATATACACACAAGTCACTTCACTTTTTTGGCCCAAGACTTCCTCTTATGTTACCATGATGGGGCAGCATGAGTGGTAGTGACTGTAGAAAGCTCTAGATGTCTATGGAGATCCTGATTTGGTGGGTCTCACACAGAGATCAACCTCCTTGGATAATTCTGACACCTCTGCTTGTTTAAAGCTCTGTCATAGAGTATCTCTCCATTAGGAGCTTTATAACCCATAACCCTTAACATAGGAATTTCCTACTATAATAAACCCATTTTCTGGTGTCTTCTGGGATTGGTTAGAGTAGCTATCTATCTTAGTTAGAGTTTCTATTGCTGTGAATAGAAACGACCATGGCAACTCTTTTAAAGTAAAACATGTAATTGGGTGATTTACACTTCAGAGATTCAGTCCATTATCAGCATGGCAGGACATGGCAGCATGCAAGCAGACATGGTGCTGGAAAAAGAGCTGAGGGAAGAGAAGGAGCTACATCGTGATCCTGCAGGCAACAGGAAGTGGTCTGAGACACTGGGCATGACTTGAGCATAAATGAGATCTCAAAGTCCACCCCCGAAATGACGTGCTTCCTCCAACAAGGCCACATCTACTCCAACAAAGCCACACCTCCTAGTAGTACCACTCCCTATGAACTAATGGGGGCCAATTACATTCAAACTACCACACTATCTATTCTTATTAACTAGGTCTTAAGAAACAAGCCATATTCCATAAAAGTTTCTAAGAGACACCCCCACATGCTGTTAGTAACTGTCTTTTAGTTATTGCTGTATAACAAATGACACAAACTTGACAGCTTAAGGCAACACATGTTTACTGTCTCGTGGTTTTTTGTGGGCCAGGAACCTAGGCCCAAATCTTTCCTTCTGGAGTCCTATTAAATTATGTTAGAAGTAGTAGCTGGAGCTTCAGTCAGTTCCGTGGCTCACATAGCACTTGGTGATGGGGTTTGGCCCTGATACTTTCAGTTCTCCAATATAGTTCTCCAATATAATTCAGTTCTCTCTCCAATATAGCAGATTACTTTTCAGTAAACTGGGAGTGGGGTAGGTAGATAGGATACCAGCAAGATGGGAATCTGGTCCCTTTGCAACCAAATCACTCAAGCCTCCTATGTATCGCTCGTTCCATGTTGTACTTGATAGACGCAGTCACCAGGTACAGCCCCTACTCAAGGGGAGGCCAATCAGAAGAGTGAAGGACAAGACATGATCAGATCCTTTCAAATCCACCTACCCCAGTGATTGTTGGAGCCTAAGCAAGTATCCATTCTCCTTCATTCAAGGAAACCCTTTGGTGATGGAATGTTATCAAACTCCTTATACAGTCCGATAACTGCAAACTGCTGTAGTCTTGGAAGCTTGAGAGTTGAAATGTCTGAACCAGATACCTCTTCTGCGGGATGTGTATATGCAACCATATCACTTGCCCTAGTTAGGACTAAGCCCTATTCTGGGCCAAAGAAGAGGGGGTAGAGAAATGAAACTGTTTCATATAGAAGACATGCTGAGGCTCCTTAAGCTGTGAGTGCACAGGGCTTAAAGAAGCTTTGCAAAGACCAACCAGACCCCTAAGTAGGTGAAGCAGTCATTGTACTAGGATAACCAAAGGAGATCCTGGGGTTGTCCTTTGTCTCCTTGTCACCTCTGTATTTGTGACTGTCTTTGAGTTCTCTGGTGGCAACAAGAGTGTCTTTTGCTCTTCTTGACACACCAAGTACTCGGTGGACATGTTTGTAAGTAGATGGTTGACAAGCCATTCCTTGTCCATGACAAAGTGAATTTAAGTATGTATGACTACTGCCATACAATTACAGAATATGGGTAGGCTTGCATCTCTCTGGTAGCCAGAGGACTTGGGGAGAGGAGCCCTAGTGGCAATTACTTACTTATGCCCTAGTGCCGCTTACTTATCTTCTTGCCTCATGGAAGAAAAACTAGCACTTAACTTTCCACTGGCATCCCTCTTACCAGTGAAACAACTTGGAAATGACAACAAAGAGTCAGGTTGAAGGGTATGGAGAGGAACCTGCTAATGGAATACAGGCAGCTATGCTGTGGACTGCATGCAAGCTATGTTCTTTAAGGCCCCATTATTTGAAATGGAGGCTAAATGGAGGAATCACTCCAAATGTGTGAGGTAGCCGAAGTGCTCTCCACTGTTCTCAGGCCGCTGCAGACCAAGAGAGAGTTGAGATTTAAAAGTAAGCAGGGCAGCAATGGTGAGTGTCCATAAACTTAAAATAAGGCTGACATCTCAGAGATGGCTATGGCCTACACATACACAGGAGAGTGAGTATGGCCAGGCATTTGTGTGGATGTTATCACTGGGTTTGAATGGCAAACTCCAGGAGCCTGAAGTAGCTCACTTGGTAGGCAATCTGGAGCTCTAACTGAAAAGTTGTCAGTGATGTCATTCTCTGAGAACAGGGAAGATCTCTTGAGGGTTTTAATGTCTCACAAGATTCAGACTCAAAACAATGCTTGGAAAATCCCCTCGCTGGAGCAGCTTGGCTACACTGTCAGGTAAGGGGACGCAGCAGGAGCCCCATCCCTCATGGTCACATCTGGCCAATGGTAGAATATGGGCTTCTTTCAGAATTTGTTAATAGGCTATGCATATTTAAAAACATATAGACATTTGTTATATGTGACTGGGTATGTATACTACTGGCCTTTCTGAGCTACAAGCTCTGTATTTGTGAGTCCAACCAACCACAGACTAAAGTCATATGGGAAAAATGTATGAGTTGTATGTTTTATTATTATTCCTTAGACTATATCGTCTAAAACCACTTTCATACTCTTATATGATACTAGATCTCTTAATTAACAAAAAGCTGGTTTAAAGTATACAAGAGGATGTACATAAGTTAGGTACAAATAAGGAGTAGGGAAATGGCACAGCAGGTAAGCATGATTGTTGTGCAAGCATGAGGACCTGGGTTCAAATCCCCAGAACCACAAAAAATAAAATACAATAAAAAATGGTCATGTGCAACAGCATAGTTCAGGGGTATGATAGAGTTCAGGCAGGGTGATAGAGCAGTACCCAGTGCCCTCCTCTGGCCTCTTCACATACATGTACATAAACATTACACACACATACACACAAAATACACATAAACGTGGTACCATTTTATATGGTTAACTTTAGCATCCACACAGTAGGTATCTGTGGGAAAGCGGTATTGCTGGAACCCACCTCTTAAGGGACAACTATGTATTCTCATGGACTTGAAAAAAAGAGAAGCAGGGGTTTCAGACACTCTGGTGTCTCATTTAGAGCTGGGGGCAGAATAGTATTAAATGAATGGGAAAATGGGAGGTTTTAGGTAAATGTGGGCTCTTCATGGATGGTGGAGCCTGGTGCCACATTGAATCTGAGACTTTCTTTCCTGACAGTTTGTTTCCCTTTGTGCTTTATAACCCCCCCACACACACACACCCCATGAGCTCATCTTCGGTGAGAGTTATTCCTCTGGTCATCCTAGATACTGTGGTTGTAGAAGCAGGCCTCAGGGGAGGGTTAAGCTTGCCTCTGCTAGGATCCCATTGTATTGCTTTGACTTCAAGCCAATTTATGAATTGATTTTTCTGCTAATGGTTTTCATACTGTGAGAAGAGAATCTGGAGCCCAGTTCTTTTGCTTGAAACAATCTTAGATTTTGATCATTTATAGATTGCTTTTTTAGAGGTTGCTTTGATCACGTTTCCCTGGAGGTGTCATTCACCCAGCCATATGGATAGCCCATTTTTAGCCCCTGCTACCCATAAGGTTGTAGGTCTCCTATCTGTCTCTGTCTACACACAAAGCCCAGCCTTACTGACATGTTTTTTCTTGGATTCCTCTCCACACCTCACTCACCACACACACACACACACACACACACACTCTAAATTCCCATGCATTTTTGGAATTTGGATGCACAGCTGTGGTTTCAAATTGTCTTATCCAATATTTATTGTGTATATGATAGGGGACTTCCTGTGTTGGCTCAGACCAGAATTCCTTAGTGCTGTAATTAGCTGTCACCACTGTCTTCCCCACTGGCTGGGGGAACTTTATCTTATTGTAGACACTCAATAAATTTCTATGAATGAGTGAGAGAATGCGCCT